TTTAGCGAATTTCCATGCAACTTTACCGACGTTCCATGAAACAATACTAAATTTGCAAGTAACTTTACCGACTTTATATGCACGCCGTTTTGACTACTTTCCGTGTCTCTTTTTTGACTTTCCATGCAACTTTACAGACGTCCTGTGAACCTTTTCCGAAACTCACCTTTACCAACTTCCATGCAACTTCAGCGTCTTTTTTCCAAACAACTTTCCCGACATCCTGCTCAAATTCCTCAACATTTTACTTAACTATGCAAACTTTCCACCCAACGTTTATCAACTTTCGACACAACTTTTTTTGCATTACATGGAACTCTGACCAAATTATAACATAAAAAACAAAATATCAATAATTGTTTTAAAACTTTATACACAATTGAGAGAAGTTACTATGTTTTTTTGTCAGAAGTTAACCAATCAATTATAACCAATTGCTGATTGTTCAGACTCACACATTTCGGGAAAGTGTTAGACCATCTGATATAATCAGACTCGGTCATTATCAAGGTATTTTTGGTCAGTCGTGTATGTTGTTCCTTTCTCATTGACCCCTCAATCACCCTTTTATCTTCACAACTCCATTGATACTCATGTTTTAATCAACTGGCATGATTGTCTAAATAATATTCTGGAATATATCTAGACTTTTTTTTAGACTGGCAATATATATGAGTGTTTGAGTCAGATAATACAGTATTGGAGGTGCACGAAGAAAAAAACACAGAATATCTAATTTAATTCAAAATTTGAATTAGCCAATTGAAAAAGAATCACAGGCCTAATATACCTTTGCAATGTGATCCACAGCATTGAAGTTTATAGAACTGACTAATAAATTCATGTCATTGTATACATTTTATTTGCTGTTTGTAATTCATTCCAAGGTGTTTGAGAGAGCAGAAAATTGTTTAATTTGTTCAGTAGTTAACATGCATTGCGTTCATCCCTAAGCAATTTGTAATCACCATGGCAACTGTGGTGAATGCAGTATGAAGGAGTGAAAGCAGAGACATTTCTGAAAAGGAGTCAGATATACAAGAGTAATACAAGAGTAATACAGGAGTAATACAAGAGTAATACAGGAGTAATACAAGAGTAATACAGGAGTAATACAAGAGTAATACAGGAGTAATACAAGAGTAATACAAGAGTAATACAGGAGTAATATATCAATTTTAAAATGGTGTGTACAAATGTACAGCTTCTTGCAGCAAATGATACATGGATTAACAGATTCTAAATTTAGTATCCTAAAGTATCCAACTTACTGTGAGAATATAATATTGTACATTCAGAAATAGTAAAACTACATGAAGCAATTATAAGTGATAAGAACATGCCAAGAAACAATACAACACAAGAAGGCCACAAGATAATACTCACCTGGGTTGTAATGAAAATGAATACAGAAAGCGGCACAAAATAGCCCCCAGCTGAAAATACAATAATGTGAAAGGAGGGCAGATGGAGCATGTAACCATCACCCAATAGCACAATAGAGTTTTGCAGGAAGGACATGATAATCGTTTACAAGATAGAACAAAAGCAATAAAAGGTATTAGTTGAATCTTCATCTGCAAAATATCTTCCCGCAGCGGAGACTTTGTTGACATGTATCCTGCTGCAAGCAAAGTGTTTCAGTTATCTTGGTAACAGATACACAGCACAAATAAGGCAAATATTTGTCGTATATGGCCAATTCTGTTCTGTGAGGTCACAGTAATGTCACAATTTCTCTGGTCATGACCATGATAGTTAATTTCACATGTCCATACTTGTTAAATGGCACAAATTACCATGGTCGGTCATAGTTCACCTGATAGTTAATTTCATATGTCCATACTCGTTAAATGACACAAATTACCATGGTCGGTCATAGTTCACCCTGGTTGAACATGGTCATCAACCCCAGGGAAAAAACAAACTAGTGTTGGTAGTACATGTAGATTCACCAAGGGTGCTAAGCCAGGTTGGCCACTAGAGGGCGCCATATTCAGTTGATCCTGGATGGTCTAACCCACATTAGCCTGATTTGGGCAATATCTTAATAAGAGGTTATTATGAGGATACCAAAAAGTATGCATGAAGACAGTACAGTACAGCAGGAGTATCAACAGACGCGCAGCGGAGTTATAACCTTATTATTATACATCTTCTCCCCCCAATGATACATCATGGAAATGGAAGAATTCAAAAAGTTTAACAGATTTAGCGAACTTTTGTGTGGGGTCAAGTCAAACCCTGGAGGCTGCCATGTTTGTTTTTATTATTAGTTTATGCATGTAATCATTCCATATTTGGAATTTGCATTTCCTAATATGGTAGGATGCAAGTAACCAGTGCAATATCGCCAAATTACGGCACACTGTAACTTGCGTTACTGTGACACAATTTCCCCTGACTTTGACTTTTGTTTTTCACAAAATTAAATTACAATATATAATGCTTCAAATACACAAGAAACAAATCCTCAATTCAACTGTTTTTATTTCAGTTTTATATAGATGTCATACAAAAAAAAATCAACACTCAATGTAAAATAATACTACAAAACATTTGGCATCATCGCCCTCACCCAACAAAATAAACAATTTTATGAATAAATTATAATACTTTATGACAACAAACAGCTGTATAATATGTAGAGAGAAACACATTCTAAAGGAGCTTAGTATTCACACTATTAGGCATGTATCAAGTTGAGAAAGAGAACCATGTGACTTGGTTTTGGTTTTGGCTTAGTGTATCATTCTCTCCTCTTCATCATATCTACTGTTCCCAATAACATAGATCAGTGGAAGAGTACACATGACAACAAAAGGGAGTAGAAAACACTATTTGTGGGCGAAAAACAAATGCATGGTTGGCTCGTTCTGAACTAGATCTCATTGGCTATTGCAACTAAGGTCTATACATTACTTTAGCTCCATTTCCAAATAAGAATGACACATCATTTGTGATCACATACTGACCCAGGTAGAAAAAAAAGAAACCAAGTTTTCTGCATGATCTGTTACAACATACATTTTACTACACAAGTTTTTGAATTCAGTAACTCCCTTGTAAGGGGCACCCTTTGGGTCTCTTTAATAAGTGGAAAGGGAGAGACAATGCAAAGAGTTTTACAGAGAAGAAATTCAAGAGGGGAAAAAAAATATTAAAAAAATAAACTTTCCCAACAATGCTTAACTATTTAAACTCTGAGTTAATACCCTGGTATTCAAGATATATATTTTAATGTAAAATATGAATTTATCAAAATAATTGAGAAGACAAATCCTATATGAATATGAAACATTTACAAGTAGTTTAAACTACATTCTGGTTAAAATTGAAGTCTGAATGAACAAAACTTAAAGTCAAATTGAGCTCTGGAACCCCCAACATACTGGTGCATTTCATAACTAAATCTAAGTGGCCAAGAATTTTGTGTTTCCACAGTGATTTTTGTTCTTATACACCTTCTTTTAATGGTTGTGTCAGAGTTTGACAAATCTTTAGTTTATTGTATGCATATGAAACTACAACCTGCTTGCTTTTATGTAGCCAACATTTCTTCTTTCACTGGTTGACAATTCAAATTCATACAATGTGTTGCGTAAATGCAGAAACGCAAACTATTTGCAAAATCTCTCCATCATGATTTGGGCATTTGATATTGCTAGAATACCGATATCTTTAAAACTTAACATATTGTTAATTACATCTATTATAAATCAGTTACCATGGTTATAGGCATACTTAATGTAAGAGTATCAGCAACACATAATAACAAAGGTATATTTTGAATTCTAAATTCCATGCATTTTAACATTTTCAGTAAAATGCGAAAAAAAACCTGATCTGAAATATAATTCTTGCAAAGATAAGTTTTTTTTTCACTTGTTTAGAATATTTCATCAAACTAGAATGCCATGTACTTTTATTGATAACTGTCTTTTCAACTGAAACAAATCAAGATAAATCATGAACAAATCTTTGAATATAGCAATTTGTTTAATTATTAATAATTCAAATATAACAAAATGACACAGAAAATACTGTGAGAGATGTGAAAAATATACACTTTGTATACATATATTGAAACTGTACAATTTGTCTTTAATGGGTAGCTCTACAGCATATGTAGGTACCTGGTACAAAATAAAGGACATACTGTATTTGTTCTATTAGTAGTGTATTTCTATGGTCAAAACAAGGAATATAATATTGATTCAGTAAACAATAAATGCAATTTTGGGTATATATATGTTTTTATGGGTGATGTGCTTCTAATAGAGCAAATACAGTACACTGCTCAGTACCTTGATGATGAAATACATTGCATTGCAAACCTCAAATGATAGTGAATAGTCCCTATTATTCTCAACCCATTACAATTTTTAACCTATTATTTTCTAAATTTGTGAGTGATAATGCATCTGTTACACTGATCTCGTGTATTGAAAAAAATGAGTTAGTAACATTCTTGATAAGGTACTGTAAAGGGGTTAATTATTCACTGGGTTTTAATTTGGCTTTTTTCGCTGACTGGAAAATGCGAAAATTAAAATCCAGTGAATATGTAAAATTGAGCATAGAACACATTATTCAAATAATAAAACCGTGAATTTTAAACCAACTAAATATGCCTGAAACGCTAAATCAGTGAAATTTAAACCCGGTGAAAATTAGTCATTTTACAGTATCACCAAGTGGTACAAGCTGATACTATACTATAGCGATTCTAGCAGAGTAACAGGAGATTGGGACATTACCCTCAGGAAAATGAAATCTTGGCAACACAGCCCTATTGGCTAGGCACAGTTTAACTTCATCTGATCGCGACTAATATTCCCAAAGCAAAGAAATATGAGGTTAATATACTAAAAGAAGCTGTGTTTCATGAATACTTTCACCTTACTATTTTTTTGATATAAACAAATAAAGAGAAATAGTTCAACCTATGTACACAAAAGAAAAAGAAAACAAAAAATTACATTCCAAAGATTTCCAAGATCATAAATCCATAAGTTTTTTTTATAACAATGTACATTTCATCTAAACAAATTTAGTATAAAATGATATCGTAGGACGTATTACTCACTGATGCAATGTATCTCTCTATAATTTGAAATCTTCTATTTTGTCAATGAGTGCGTTTAATTTCTCTTCTTCCCTGTAAGATTCTTTGAGCTGGATCATTTTCTTATTGGCTGCATCGTGGTATACATCAAGTACTTTCCAGTGAATAAACAGTCGTATTGTTGTCTTCAAGGTTTCCAGTGCACAACTCTCAGCTGTGAAAAAAAAATGCAATAAAATAATACATACTGTACTATTCTCAGATACCACCACATGATTTGCTTTTTCTGTATACAGTTTGAACACCAATAAAATGATGGAATTTACTGTAAATATCATGACGTTTACTGTGAATATCATGACGTTTACTATGAATATCATGACATTTACTATGAATATCATGACGTTTACTGTGAACATCATGACGTTTACTATGAATATCATGACGTTTACTGTGAACATCATGACATTTACTATGAACATCATGACGTTTAATGTGAATATAATGATGTTTAATGTGAACATCATGACATTTACTGTGAACATCATGATGTTTAATGTGAACATCATGATGTTTAATGTGAATATCATGTTTAATGTGAACATCACGTTTAATGTGAATATAATGACGTTTAATGTGAATATCATGACATTTACTGTGAATATCATGACATTTACTGTGAACATCATGATGTTTACTGTGAATATCATGACGTTTACTGTGAACATCATGATGTTTACTGTGAACATCATGACGTTTACTGTGAACATCATGACGTTTACTGTGAACATCATGATGTTTACTGGGAATATCATGACGTTTACTGTGAATATCATGTTTACTGTAACATATCAGTGTTATTTCACACTAATCATTATAAGTGTGAATAATATTAACCATTGTTGTAAGTAATAAATACACAGCTCACCATAGCTAGAGAGACCTTTGTAGACTCGTTCCTTGGCAAAGCATAGAAGTTTACTTGTATACTCAGCCTCAGGTAAATCTCTATCCATTAAACGTATTAAATTACATGCAGCAATCCAATAACTTTCTATCAATGGTCCCAGCATGCTTTGCAGGAATGTCAATTTGTCAACATGTTCAGCAGATAAACTGATCTGTAGAATCAATACAAGGAGTTTTGGGGTTTAGTTCCTGGATTAAATTTAACTGCTCTGCAAATTTTCTGATGGGGCTTACCACTAAAAATCAGGATTTTAAATTGGGCAATATAGGAATATTGACAAAAAAAATTGGGGGTCACCATCCTAATTTTCGAGAAAGTTTCTCAGAATCTGTCACTGTAACACACAAAAGAATGCTATTTTATGGTGTCATGGGACAGTAGCTCCAATGTGTTCCATAATAAACCAATGAACATTGTCATATGTTTTACAACCAACTTTCTCAAAAATTATGAGTAGGCTTCTACCTTAAATGTCACTCTATAATTTGTTACTTTTTAATAAGCATTGTATTCATACAAAACTTGAAACAAGCAATGTGATAGAATATCTCTTATATGTATCCTCTATTGCAGCATTAAGCTCTAGTCAGTTTGCGATATATAGACCTTCCACCCACAACAGATTTTAAATTAAAGACATTTAAATGGCAGCCAATCACAAACCCCCAAGCAAACATGTTTCAAGTGAATAAATTAGCTGACCAATAATCAATGATTTTTTATTTTAAATAACAATACAATTATGTCAACCTCAATGTTTAGCTCTGTATTACACTACAAACACTTGCTCCATCGGTATTACCATTTACATTCAACTGCCCCCTCACCCAGTGTCTCATGTAATTTTGTTTTTCAGCATACTAATAATAATTCAACCAATCAAATAGCTATGTTCATTTTACAAACACACAACTTTCATACAGCAAGCATACACGATGTTAGTGTAGAACAAGTAGACCACACATTCTGGGTACTGTATGAAATGCCTACAACGAAGCCATCTGTTCCATAATATAAAACAAATTTGATAAACCAAGTGAACACATAAACTATGAAATATTACAATGAAAAATATATATATGAATGCAAGCACCTAAGTTTTGACCAAACTTTATAAAAGGAATATAATAATTGGACATAGACATGCAAAGAAACAAATATGAACCACTGAATGTATATAAAAGTAATGCATGTCTGAGTAAATGCAGGCACCATGAGTCCCCATTTGGATAACAATCTTTGGATTGTGACTATTTGGTTGTTACTGACCCTCAACAGTTGATCTGGCTGTATTTGTTCATCATCTTCATCTTTCCATGATGTACTTGATACCAATCTATCAGCCCAGCTTTTCTCTTGGCTATTCAGACAAGTTGAATTTGGCTAAACAGTAAAAATCAAAGTATGAAAACCATATTTGTTTCTATTAATAATGTATATGCTTATGTAAATGGAGAGGTATGTTTTGGTGTATTAGAGATGCGCCTCTAATAGAGCAAATATGTTACATATGTGGGAACCAGTAGATATCTCAGAGGAATGTCTTATTACAGCTGTGACTTGACCACATGAAAGCTACTGTAATGTGCATCATGAATATACTTACCTCTTCATGTTGGATGATTTCAGATGATGTTAAACGTTCCAATGCATCAATGATAATGGTTTGTAGACTACCACATGGCTAGCAAGAAAATACAGAAAACATCACAATCATTTACTATTATACTATGAGAATATTATATGAATACTGCATAAAAGCAGCACAATACAGTGGCCCCTCGCTAAGTCGCGCCTCGGTAAGTCGCGATTCGGCTAAGTCGCGGGTACTTGGATGGCTCCCAAAATTTCTATTGTGTTTTGACAAAGACTAATGTTTCGTGGCATAGTGTTTTTAACTAACCGTTAAAGAGACAACTTAACACCTACTGTCCGTCAATTGCTGAGATGCAATGGGTGACGGCGGCCTTACTCAAGGTGTCAACAGGGGTGTCGAGTAGTGACCGTACGTACTTCTTGGCCGGTCCCATTTTGGTATACCTCTACAAAAACTCGCTACAATGAGTTGAATTCATAGAATTCTGATCTCTATTTCTCAATTGAGCAGCATGTCAAAGCGAAAGCTATACAGCCTGTTCGTACGCCATAAATTCACGGCGATCGACCGTGTCAAACCAAGTTAAGGGTTGCACGTGGTTGAGCCCACTATTCGTGGGTGGGTAAAAAAATGAAAAGTAAATTTGTTTTCAAAGTTGACCAAGAGGCGGGACTGAACAGAAAAACAAGCGAAAGTGTCCGACAATGATGACACCGATAAAGCTGTTTACGTTTCTTTAAGAACGGTCTCCCGGAACTCCACTATCTGGTCCCATCACCCAATGCAAAGCATACAACTCAGATATGACGACTTTGAATTTGAGGCCAGTTCAGGGTGGTTCTTGCGATGGCAAATGTGATGATACATCAATTAACTAAACCGAGGGTTTATATGTGCTTTTTATATGTTTTTCAATGCACGACCTCCCTCTTTCACGACGTCCCTCGGTAAGTCGCGGCCCTCGATAAGTCGCGGTTTTTGCTTGGATCCCAACACCCGCGACTTAGCGAGGGGCCACTGTATTCTCATTACAACCTTATTATTATCTTTTTTTTATTGTAGTGATAATTTGCACTTCACAGCAAATCTAAAAAAAAAATATTCCGAAACGTAACATCAACTATTTTGAATGCAACATAGTTTTTCCTGAATACTCAAGTTCTCATTTAAATTTATTAGAAAGTAAAGCAACTTACTGGAATAAATGTAAATTCGAATTGCAGTAAATCACATAGTTCTGTAGCTTTGTGTACCAAGGCATCTCTTGATACTGTAATGTAGTCTTCATGACCATGTTGTATTTGTAAATTATGCTCACTCACAGCACTAATGGCAGTGGCTGTCAACAAACAAACAAAATCAATTACTGAAAAACTGATATTATTATGATTTCATAAGTTTTAATAGAAGCTGCATCCATACACTATCTACTATATTTTTCCTACATTCAGATCTTTGCAGCAAGTACTTTTCATATTTTTTTTATTCAAAAACAAACAAACAAGCAACTCCTATTACTTTAATAATTATTGTAATAACAATAATTATGCAATGTCTAAGGTAGATAAGGAAATCAGGTAGCAAATATCATGGTGATATGCGATAAATCAAGATTCCACTGATATCATGTAAAGTTATTGACTTAAAATACTTAGCTATGAGTTAATCAAACCAAAAACACTACAGACACTGGCAAATGTGGTTTTTATTCGGAATTCAAATGTGATTTTGAAGGTTCTATGTGCGTGATTACATTAGAAAATTGCATCACACAAGTACAGCCAGATGTTTTGGATAAAGTACCTTTCATTAATTGTAGTTCTGAAAAAGTCTTATTTGGTTATATGTAATAGAACATGACATACAAAGAGAAGTGGCAGGGTAATCCATTCCTTTTGATGTGTGTCACAGTTTCCTGTCCCTATAATTGAGTAGTTGGCTATGTACATGTATTATTAAGCTAGGTCTAGAATGGCAAAAATGCTTGATTTTGATAATTTTTTTACATTAAAATTGCTGCTATCCTTCTATCTTTAATCACTCTGTCAAACAAAAGCATGTGCATATATGTGACACAATGAATATATGAAGTTTGATCGTTATGATGTATATGCAAAGTCTGAATGTGAAGTCTGAATGTCAAAGCATGTCAGAGATACATGTGGAAACAGGGTTAAACCACAAGATCAATTTGATCACTTAACATAAAGACAATGATAGCTGAACTCACCAATAACTGCTTCCATCAAGAACACAGATATCACAGGATTACTGTAGTAGGATAGCTCAAAAATATCTGGCAAGCATGTATTAGGTATCAACATATCATTTCCTGTTGGTCCACCCATCACACATTCTTTTTCATCAGCATCACTAACAGCTTTATCCGTAATCTTGCCTTTCCTTCTGGACACTAGATTGTCTCCTAGGAGATGACTTGCATAGTTGACAATGGCTGCAGCCTTGCCGCTGAAACCCACATCACGTCCATGAGCTATGATTTGTTGACGTACAGATTCAAAGCTTTCAGATATTGTATCTATCGTAGCACCCTGCCAAGAAAGCACACAGTCATCAAGATTTAGAAACGCACTTCATTAAATAATCTATACCTTATCTGCTTACACATTGAAAATAATTATAGCATTATAGGGCTTGTGCTCAAGTCTAAAAATGAACTTAAGGTAGAGATGCAGTTTACCGGACAAGTATTTTAATTAGTTAATTAGGAAAACAAGATGACCTCCCTTGTCCATAAAACTATATATTTTCGGAATGCTTATTGTATGAATTTTAAAGTTTTGTTCGTATTTTATTTTTACGGACACTGTAGTTTGAAATATGCACAAAAATGTGCTTTTTTGGTCAAAAGTGATTTAAAAAAAATAGCTTCTAAACCATGCTTCTGTTTCCTGTCAAAATTGGTTTTTGGGTACATCTGTTTACTATAAAGAAAGCGCCGTCTTGAAAACTGTCTATCAGTTGTCAATTTTGTAGGGCAGCAGCTCAAATTTCACTACTTCAAGTTTATGCATAAATTAACACCCAGGCTAGTTGTTTGTACGATTGCTGTAACACTATTCAACTAAAAACAATGCCCCAACAGCGTTTTGAAGATAAACACATTGTTAATCATTTGTGAAAATTTCAAAACAAAAGGTCAAAGTGTCTAGAGGCTATTTTTTTTAAAGTTCTGAAATGTGCATTCAAAAGAAGCGGAGATAATTGCTAATTTGCATAACAATTCACTCAGTAAGAAGTTTGCTAATGCTCATAATTAAAATGGCTGTTACAGTTTCCAATTTAAATGTATTATCGTTTTGTAAAAAGTTAAATACAGTGCATAATGTGGAGATCTCAATAATGTTTTTTTTTTTTATTATTTATGTACTGCCTTGCAAAATCTTTCTAAGCGTTCAAAGGAGAGAATGTTTGCACCTGTTATCTATATTTTAAAATCGTTTTATGAGTATGTTCCACTATTCACAATTCTACACAATTTTAACAGTCTATAGCCAAGACTGTTTGGATAATAAAAAGCAAAAAACAAAAATTTTCACTCCCAAGTGCCCACGAACATGCATCTCTACCTTAATAGAGCAGTTAAATTAGGAAATTGTGACCGTAATCAGAAATATTGTGTTGTGACTGACTGTACCTGATATGTTTGAGATGCATAGCTTATGATGAGCAAATACGGTAAGTGCGCTTCAGTGTGTAATTTGGGGGGGGGGGATTCTAAACACACATTTAAACTAAAAACCAACATGCCAATTCAATTACAGTGCATAGAGTAGTGTAGTTTTCATGTTTTCAGAATTTATTCCATTTAAGATCACCTACTGAGCACATGTTATAATGCATCATATCAGCACATTGCTCTTTCAACAACATAGTTGAACTCTGGTGACCTTGCCCTCTGTTATATAATATTATTCCCTTTATCATAGTTTGTTTCAATTTGAATGTGTATTGTCATAATTAATTTTGAATACAAACAAGTTTTGAAGTTGAAACAACAGTGAGAAAGCAGTTTACCGAATGTCCTTGATAGATGGAAATATTATACATAAACATTCCTGCTTTATTCAAAGTAATCTAGATTTTTTATAATAAAAACAAGAGCCGCATCTCAGAAAAAAAGTGCTGCATTTAGACGTGAATAGATTCATAAATCATGCAAGATATCGGAGAATCTTAGCTGACTTTTGCCCAAGTATTTTGTATAGGTGTCTGCCAAAAATTAATGATTCACTGAGATAATATATGAACTGCCTTATTATATTCATAGTGTGACTACTGTATTATTTGAAAAGTAAAAAAAATGCCCTTTATCATGTTGCAAGTCGTGCTTTGTAATGCAAATCAACTTAAATAGTTAGTTGGTGTCCAGTGAGAGAGAAGTCAACAGTACTTTTGCCTCCTGAAAATCTACATCTTCAAACACTGCAATCTTTGTTTTTAAAGTGCGTTTTTAAATTAATATTATAAAAGAAATTTTGACACCTAATTTATGGGAGTGCTTATCTTGTTTTCTGTAAAGATTTTAGGTTTGCAAATGTGTATCAGACTGTGAAAAAACTCTCTCCATGAGTTGGTTTTAAAAACCCAGTCTAGTATTCCCTGTCAAAATATTTTATCAGATTTTCTCAATTTTTGCATGATATTTTCATACAGAACATCTGTTGTTTATACTTGGGGAAGACTTTATACTGATGAATAAGGTGGCCAAGTTTGATAAAGTTTGGAATAGAATTAGTAAAGTTATTGTGCACACAATAACAATTATTAACGACGACGACAATGCCGGACAGAAATTTTCCCCTTAATATACCTTTCCTTTCCATCTTTGATGTTACGATATGACTGCGTAGTAAAATTTTACTTTAGAAACCAATGCAACAACAAAACAAATATGAAATAATAATTTTGCTAATTAAGAAGCTTGTTTCCAGAAATATTGTGTAATGCCTTTAACATTTTTCATCTTCTGTATGGCATTGACCTCAAGTTGAAAATTGAGAGATGCTTCTACTTACCTGTCTGAACTTAGTGAGAAGTAGAAATGACAAGAGATTGGTACTCATTATAGACTGTGTATGGACTGCATCTGAAAAACAAAACAGACTTCCTTATTTTTCATTTTTCATCTCAAATCAAGTATTTAATTCACTGAATTGTGTTGAACATTGATTTAACAAGTAGTGTAGAACATTGATTTAACAAGTTGTGTTGAACATTGATTTATTGAGTTGTCTTGAACATTAATTTATTGAGTTGTCTTGAACTATTGAGTTGTCTTGAACTATTGAGTTGTCTTGAACATTAATAATTTATTGAGTTGTCTTGAACATTAATTTATTGAGTTGTCTTGAACATTAATTTATTGAGTTGTCTTGAACATTAATTTATTGAGTTGTCTTGAACATTAATTTATTGAGTTGTCTTGAACATTAATTTATTGAGTTGTCTTGAACATTAATTTATTGAATTGTGTTGAACATTAATTTATTGAGTTGTGTTGAACATTAATTTATTGAGTTGTGTTGAACATTAATTTATTGAGTTGTCTTGAACATTTTTTTATTGAGTTGTCTTGAACATTAATTTATTGAGTTGTCTTGAACATTAATTTATTGAATTGTCTTGAACATTAATTTATTGAATTGTCTTGAACATTAATTTATTGAGTTGTGTTGAACATTAGTTTATTGAGTTGTGTTGAACATTAATTTATTGAGTTGTGTTGAACATTAATTTATTGAGTTGCCTTGAACATTAATTTATTGAATTGTCTTGAACATTAATTTATTGAGTTGTGTTGAACATTAATTTATTGAGTTGTGTTGAACATTAATTTATTGAGTTGTGTTGAACATTAATTTATTGAGTTGTCTTGAACATTAATTCATTGAATTGTCTTGAACATTAATTTATTGAGTTGTCTTGAACATTAATTTATTGAATTGTCTTGAACATTAATTTATTGAGTTGTCTTGAACATTTTTTTATTGAGTTGTCTTGAACATTAATTTATTGAGTTGTGTAGAACATTGATTTATTGAGTTGTCTTGAACATTAATTTATCGAGTTGTCTTGAACATTAATTTATTGAGTTGTGTTGAACATTAATTTATCAAGTTGTCTTGAACATTAATTTATTGAGTTGTGTAGAACATTGATTTATTGAGTTGTCTTGAACATTAATTTATCGAGTTGTCTTGAACATTAATTTATTGAGTTGTGTTGAACATTAATTTATCAAGTTGTCTTGAACATTAATTTATTGAGTTGTGTAGAACATTGATTTATTGAGTTGTCTTGAACATTAATTTATCGAGTTGTCTTGAACATTAATTTATTGAGTTGTGTTGAACATTAATTTATTGAGTTGTGTTGAACATCGATTTATTGAGTTGTCTTGAACATTAATTTATTGAGTTGTCTTGAACATTAATTTATTGAGTTGTCTTGAACATTAATTTATCGAGTTGTGTTGAACATTAATTTATTGAGTTGTGTTGAACATTGATTTATTGTGTTGTCTTGAACATTAATTGATTGAGTTGTGTTGAACATTGATTTAACAAGTTGTGTAGAACATTGATTTATTGTGTTGTCTTGAACATTAATTTATTGAGTTGTGTTGAACATTGATTTAACAAGTTGTGTAGAACATTGATTTATTGTGTTGTCTTGAACATTAATTTATTGAGTTGTGTTGAACATTGATTTAACAAGTTGTGTTGAACAATGATCAGACTTGATTTTTGAAATACAGTTCATTGATTTCATTCAGCAATGTACCAGACCATATGGGGACCCACCGAAAATGTCTGATACGATGACCAAAGCATAGCTGAGATATATTGATTTTTCATCTACTTCTTGAGTAATTTGTCTCAAAACACAGATCCACACCATGTGATCTCCCAAAGGTGCAACCAATCAAGTTCTGAATTGCTATAGCAGTATACAAACTTACCATAGATAACATGATCAGCTAATCCTTTAATAACGGTTCTGAGATCATCTCTCACAATATCAGTACCATATATTGAGTTATCACTACCAACTGACTTCATTTTAGGACTTCGAGGACCATTACAAGTCAGATCACTTGATAATGGACTGTACGGTTGAGCAGATTGCAGGTACTCCTACATAACAAAAGATCAGTATTTACAGAGGAAATATATAATTTCCACACTGGTTTATTATAACATCTCATTCAATTAACATAAGGGCATTGATTAACACATTGTCGTGTGCATAGTGATGTATGTGTACCAACCTGGAGTGAGAAAGGTTCAGCAAAGCCCACTCTGACAGTACCATAGTCACCACGAAGAACTTTGTATACACCATGTATGGCAGACAAAAAGGACTCTTTTACTTTAGGATTACCCTGCAAAGTACACATTTCACAAATCTTGTAAGAAAAAAACTTTCACACCAATGAAAATGTTTTTTTCCTGAGAACTGTCTTGAATCATGTGAGGCCCAAAATATTGTTTGAAGAGAATTTGCTTCAAATGGTGAGAGTAAATTCTTAGAGGGGGACACAATTCATGATTCGTGTTATTCTATTTGCCATACATAACCTACCTAGCAACAGGTGAGGGTAGGAAACAAGCAGCCTATCGGCTGAGATAGCTCCGCTGTTAGCAATGCACATTTCAATTAAAGAACTGAAGACATCATTAGAAAATGAACAATATGAATAGTATCAAAGCAATCGGACGTACGGTTTTTAACAAAAATTCGAAAATATCACTTTTTACCGAAAATTACAAAAATATTCACCAAAATAAATTAATTAGAGAATTGAAGATATCATCACAAAATGAACAAATCTGAGAGGTACACATGTAGTACCTATATATGTAATATCAAAGCAATCGGACTTACAGTTTTCAACAAGAAGTCGAAAATATCACTTTTTACCAAAAATGACAAAAATATTCACCAAAATTAGAGAATTAAAGATATCATTAAAAAATGAACAAATCTGAGAGAGGTCCACATGTAGTACCTATATATGTAATATCAAAGCAATTGGACTTGCGGTTTTTAACAAGAAGTCGAAAATATCACTTTTTACCAAAAATGACAAAAATATTCACCAAAATTAGAGAATTGAAGATATCATCACGAAATGAACAAATCTGAGAGAGGTCCACATGTAGTACCTATATATGTAGTATCAAAGCGATTGGACTTGCGGTTTTTAACAAGAAGTCGAAAATATCACTTTTCACCAAAAATGACAAAATATTCACAAAATTAGAGATTAAAGATATCATTACAA